AGGAGGAAAGGGCATTCTGGGTAGAGGAAGTAGCAAGAATCACTGAACTCAGAGATGCAGAAGGCATTACTAGAAGATGTCCCCCTCTTGGTCTCCTTTTCCTTCCTGGGTTGGCTGTGTTCCTAAGCTCGGGGAATGGGGATCCAGTCTCACAGGTTATTCTTTCCACCTTTCCATTAAGATTCCCAAGATCATCTCTCTGCTTGGTTGACTCAGCTGTCTTCTTTAGAGGCAGGCAATATTCTGATTAGCCACATTTGATTAAAAAGCCCACTTCAAAAGTCAGATCCAGATTAGATGTATCCAAACCACATTCTTTCAGGCAGTCTTTCTCAAGTATTAGGATTCACATGGGAGTTGATGAATGACAAATTGCTAGGTCAGTCCCTCCATAACGTCTCATTCAGCTGGTCACAGCCATGGCCTGAGAGTCTGAATTTATAACAAGTCTCTAGGTGACACTGATTCTACTGATCTTGGGGACCACAACTGGAGAGACATGCCTTTGAGAACTGGAAATACGGGCACCCAGAAAATCTTTGTCCTGTTACCTAAAGGTGCTGAATCTGTTCCTGGGCTAGCTGACCACACAGATTAATCTACGGCCAGGAATATTTGTGGAACTCAAGGCAGCTGTTTGCCTTTCAACCCCTTTTCCTTCTGTATTTTTTCTTTCCCGTAGTTATTTAGTAACCTCACAATTTTTTGGCTACGAAAGGTTGTTAACCTCCAATCACTGGAGCTTAAAAATTTTACATTGAAATTTCTATTTTCTTTTTTTTCTCACAAGACCTTGATTCAAAGATCTGATATGTTACATAGTGTTATGGGACTGATTTTTGCCATTTATGTGACCTTAGGTATGTTATTTAACATCTGTGTCTTGCTCTTTTTACATGTAAACTATTGGGGGAAAATATATATATATATATATATATATGAACACATACATATGTATATATATATTTAGGATATATATAGTTAGGATATATATATTCCTGATATGTATGTCCTCAATAAATATGTGTGTATATGTATGTGTGTATACATATATATGATAATGTAAACATAAAACATGCATATAATATATGTGTGTTTTATATATGCATATGCATTTCTTGTATATGTTCATATATGTATATATACACTATATGTAAAAAATGCTTAGAAGAATCCCTGAGACATTCTTAAGGACTATGCAGTTCTTAATTCTTCTTATGAAGTGTTTATTGTCAGTGACTTGAAGTTACTAGACTTCACAGATTTTAAAAAAGAAGGAGTCCAAAACACTGTCAGAATTTAATCATCTCTTAATTTTTGATGGACCTGCATAGAATTAAGTGATCTGGCCAAGTATAAGAAGATGGTTGGTGAGTCCATGACTCAAGTTTTCTGTGCTCTGACAATTCCATAATGTAAGTCTTCCATCTTTCCAACAAAGCATGACTCCTCACAGAAAGACGATGGGTTTCTGAATCCCACAAATATGGTTGGAATTCCAATATTTCTGTTTTAACCAAATAGCTATGAGCAAATTAGGTACTGTTTGGGAGCCTCTTTTTTTTCCTGCCTTTGAAATAAGATTAAAAGCAGAAACCATGCAACTGTTTTCTGACATATTAAATACAGAAATATGTAGAAGTTCCTAACACAGTGCCTAGGGAATTACCAGTTTGTTCATAAATATTTAGGTTTTTCTCTTCTTTTCTATTCCCTTAAATAAGTGTCTTGCATTTAATCAAAGCCTTTGCGTATTATGCCAGAAAAATGACTCATGATAGAAACCCTAGGTTATAGATTATATGGCATTGTGAAGAAGAAAATATTCTCCTACGACCAGACTTTCAAGCTCCTACCAAACTTTTGTGTTGATGAATACATTGCTCAGTAATCTCCAGAAACACTGGGTACCTTTGTTAGCAGCTATCATGGATGCTTTGCTTCTCCACTGCATGTACTCAGTACTTGGCATACAATGGCCCATGGATTTCTCATCAAGTCACTGACAAGTTGGTAGTTCTGTTAAGCAAGTTTTGTAAGAGTCAGGATTTTACACCCAAGTGTGAACAACTTTTAAGCCCTTGTATGGTTTGATTTCTATTTAATTTATTAGAACCTTTGTTCCATGGAAGGGGTGAAAACGGAGCAAGATAGAAATGATAGACCTTGACTGAAATGATTGACATCTGTTTTGAAAATGAAAATGAATCAAATTTTAGTTTTAAATGTGGCTTCACATATTTTCAGACTTTTTTTTAAATGGAATTGGTCTGGAAAAGGTTGAACATATTTATTCTGAAAATTGTGACAGAGACATCTGATCATACGTACCCTCCCTCCCACCTCCCCCCCTCCCTCTGTCCTTTCCTCCCTTCCTCTCATTATTTCTTTCTTAATATACTGGCATCTATATAGCACAGGGAATTTTTGCTCATTTTGGGAACATGACCTATTGTTTTCTTGCCTCTGACGTTGCCTGAATGTTTTCTCCTCTCTGTTTTTATCCACCTTTTCTATTTGCCTTAATGTGATGGGGTATTTAGGTTGGCTTACTTTTCTTCCCTCATGAACTCCTTCCAAGCTTACTCCTCACTAGTTGCTGATCTTGAAGATCTAATTTGTTAAATGCCTTTAAAACTATTAGACAATTAATACATGTACAAATTTTTTTTTTTGGAAATTAAAGTCATATCTTTATTTAACTTGGAAAAAAATCATTTATTCTTTTTAGAACACAGTTACTTTTAGACATATACCACAGTACCCCAAAGACAACCTCTAAATATATACTGCAGAAATTTTTTAAAAAGTCCCAAATATTATCTACAAAATAAAACAGATCAAAACCTCTCAATTGTCTCACTAAGCATGGAGATTTATTTGTAACCTGCTTGTCAACTCAGCATGATGACAACTCTGATCTGTTATATAATGTTCTATCTTAGAACACTGTAGTTTTGATTTTAAAAATACTGAAAAATTAGTATAGAGGTTACTCATACCCTACGCCCACTTTCCCCATTATTGACAGTTTACACTAGGTGTGGTACATTTGTCCTGATCGAAGAACCAATATTTTCCCTTAATTTTTACTTTTTCTCTTTTAAGAACCTGTGCAGGTTAATTTTTTCTTTTTCTTTTTTTTTTTATTGTTGGTCGTTCAAAACATTACACAGTTCTTAATACATCATCTTTCACAGTTTGATTCAAGTGGGTTATGAACTCCCAACTTTACCCTGTATACAAATTGCTGTATCACATCAGTTACCCTTCCATTGATTGACATATTGCCTTTCTAGTGTCTGATGTATTCTGCTGTCTGTCCTATTCTCTACTATCCCCCACATGTACAAATTTGAGAAATAAAAAGAGAAAAAAGAACATAATGAATCACCTACCATTTCAATAGCAGGTAGAAAATTGTACATCTGTTATGCTTCCATATGTAAAGAAGTTTAAGGATTTAAATATGTGTATATTTATGTGTACATATACTTAAATATACATATATGTATATTATATCATCTGCTGCTCTGTATCTTGCTCATTTATTTAACATACTGCAAAACGTCGACATCTATGACTAGTCTATTTTCACCTGTACATTCATGCGTCTCAGATATAAGTTCAATGACTGTCTACACAAATTCAGTGCACTTACTTATTAGCATTCAGTGCACTTATTGTGCACTTTTGAGCAAATTATTCTGTATTTTTTGTGGGAAAAAAATGTTTAACTTACTCTAGGAATGGGTTCATAAAGGTGATAATCCCCAGCTCAGAAGGCTGTGGGAAAAAGGTTTAACTTACAGGATTGTTTTGAGGATTAAATTAAGTAGGACAAGTAAACTATGAAATAGACGGCCTGAACTATAATGGACACTCAACATTTTATTAGCATTATTCCCCTTTCCATTGTTTATTTATTCATTTAACCTATGTTACCTATGTGTCCAGAGATATATTAGCTCTAACTTAGCTTTTAAGCTTCTCTAGGAAATTTAAATCTAGTTAAGGAATTTTCACTAGAGAACAGTATTTCCACAATTGACAGTAGGATATGATTGATAAGCATGTAGAAAATTAGAACAGCCATGACTTTAGTCTTAAAAATGAGGTAGTGGTACAAAAAAATTGCAGAGAACAAGATTTCCCATATCTCAATGGAGATTTTATAATGAGCTATCCTAACTTGTAACCTGCAACCTCAGGAATTTTCTTTTATCTTTTGGATTCTTTAGTGAAAATGCAAAAGCAAAATAGCTCTGTCACATTCAGCCACTGTCAATTAATGCCCAGGACTGGATTAACTATGAGAAAACCAATTCAAGTAACTCGAGACTCACCAGCTGTCAGGCAGGGTTAGCCTCCTTGGAGGGACCACATACATATCCTGTTGCCAAGGAAAACAGCCTATCACATCTTTTTTCAGGGCACGAGTAAATTTCTGCCTCATCTGTACAAAACCTTCAGACCTTCAGGAGACCAGAGGGTATAGATTAAAATTCATGCCTAACAGAAACCGTATTTGAGCTTCCTGCCACACTCTTTTACACAGTATTCAAAAGAGAATCCCAAGGACTTAGCTATTGTCTCAGCTCTGCATTTGAACTCTATTCATGCACATGTGTTGAGAAGCTAGTGTTTTACAAAGGACAAGGGTGGTTACATTTAAAGTTCTGAGCATAATCAAAAAACCTTATGTTTATATTCTTTTTGTAGAAGCCAAAAAACATGTTCATTTCATTCTTTTTTACTTTAAATCTTTGTTGTCAGGTTAAGAACATTGCTGAGGTCAGTTAAGCAATAAGAGAGAACTGGTTTTGTAATAACAAAATTGTGTGTGTGTGTGTGTGTGTGTGTCCCAAAGACCAGAAAAGCAAGAGAGACAATTAAAAGAAAATCTGAAAGCAAATTTGTGGGTTATGAGGCCCACCTGGGTCTTTACTGACTGTTATACTGGATGATTTGACTGGAAACACCTGTTGTATTCTCTGCAGAGCCATTGGGAAGAGGTGTGCATCAGGAGCATACAGATTAGACCACGTGGCTGGTGCATGAACCTTGGTAAGTACTCATAAAGCAGGGGTGTAAATACTGGAGTATGCACTCTCTGTCAATTCTGCTCTACTTTTGGAGAATTTTTGGCGTTTGCTTCCTTGCATTTGGCATTATAGACTATTTTAATAATGTTTACACTCTTGCTCGGCTCCCTAGCTCAACAAGCTGTTAAAAGAAGCTACATTTAAACAACCATCCCTGCATCTTTTGCTGCTACATGAAGAGGGTAGCAGGCTGTTCCCTAGAATATCTGTAAAGGATCTTCTCCAAATAAACTACTTTAATGCTAAGCAAAATGCCACATATGTAAAATAGGTAATGCTGGATTATGTAAAATGCTTTGTAAAAGATGAGGGAAAAGGACTTAACATCAAATCTGTCAGCATGGGGAGGACCAGAAATAGTTGTAAAGGTAGTTTGAATGGCTTAATACTGCAATTACTGTTTACTTCTTCAAATTAGCCTGCATTATCTTATGAAAGAATCTTAGAATAATTTGTTTGACTCTCCAGGGGCCTGTCGCCATACCATGAATAGATGTTGAAAGAGTCTTGTATGATATAATTTAATCTTTGTATCAAACATTCCTACTTATTACTTTTCCCTTCCAAACACCCCGACAACCCGAATTTCTCAAGGAAGTCTGTTTCTACATCAGTGTTAATGCATTGACATGCAGTAGGGAAATTTACCCTGAGTTACATGTATCTAGAGAAACAAGAAAGCAAATGTGCTTACTTCTTAGCAAGCTTATTTAATCTCTGAGATACGTAAAGACGAGTCAGAAAAAAAAAATACAAACCAGCCCTTCTTAATTGAAATCATAGGATGAATTGTGGAGTCGAAAAGTACCATAGAGAATGCCCAATATAGACTTTTATTTTTTTTTATCTTGAGTAAAAGGAGATTTCAAATGCTAAAAGACCTGCCTCAAGCCCACAGAAAGGTTTCTAGCAATATACAAACAAGAATTCAGAGCTGGGGCTGGGGCTGTAGCTCAGTGGCAGGACCCTTGTCCAACATGTATGAGGCACTGGATTCTATCCTTAGCACTACATAAAAATAAACAAATAAAGGCATTCTACAACTACAGAAATAAATTTTAAAAAGAATTCTGTGCTTGATTTTGCCAATTCTGTTTTACCTCTCCAGAACTTATCACCTGATATATGCGAATAAACAAAATTGTTTAAAAAATACAAATATGTAAGACTATCCTTAGAAGATCTATGTTAATAGATTTGAAATGAAGTCTGAGAATCTGTTTTTTTTTTTTGCCAAAGATTTTAGGTGATTCTTAGGGTACAGAAATCATAGAAAACCTTTTATTCTATCATTATGTCTTCAAATGTAAAGGACAAGTTGTTATCATATAAAACTATATAAAAACCTTTAAAATATTTAACTGATTTTTAAATTTTCCACATATGGGACTTCTAGATTTTTACATTTAGATCTATGTGGTGGACCCATTTATAAGTCAGTTTTCTTGGAAATTGCTTTTATATTTATGGTATTTATATGTCTGCCATGTGTAATATTGGTGTTTCTTAAAGTCCACCCAGAGCTTTGACCGTTCAATCAACACTCTGTTTAGTAAGATATTGAATCCAAAGATGCACTGAAACAATCCCAGCTGAGCTATGTTATAGAAACTAATGTCAGGCAGAAGCCATTAGAATACTTGGCAGGTGACGAACTGCTGCACTTGCCATGTATGAGTTTTCTAGAAAGGCAAATTGTGCTTTCGCACAAGATTACTTCTCATTTTTAAAAATCAATTCCACACACACACACACACACACACACACACACAAAGCACCACAAAACAAACTAAAAACCCCACAAAACACACACACACAAAAACATAGTAGAGCATGTTGACAGCTGTCCATGGTGCTAACTGTGGCCTTTCCTAGGGAATGGGATGTTTACAATACCAGTTTGTGAAAATCCTTCAACAGACTCTGTTTATAATCCCTGTAATCTGGGAATACCAATAATTTGGGGGGAACAGATTCTCCACCCTGTCCAGATATTATTCCCACCCCTCACCCACCCATCAAATGAACTAAGGAAACTTGAACTCAGTTAGATGCACGTGGTTTACTTCCAGGCAGTTTTTAGAGAAAATAAATGACAAATGGATGAAAGTTAAGTCATCCTTTCAAAAGATCAACTTAACCTCTAATGCTCACATGGCTTATTTTAGCAATTTCAGAGGCTGTGTACTCAACTTCTCGTGTGAATTGTGCTTTTATACCATCCCATTTGACAATTAAAATGGGAAAAAAGTGGAAAAGCCATTGTTTGTTTTTTCAATAGTGCCATCAGCATGCACAGCACTGAACAATAGTCAGAGCACGGCAGACAAAAGGCTTTGCCCTGCGAGCTTGCAATTGAGCAGCATGATACAACACAGAACAATACCACTCAGAACAAGCACGTGGTGATTAACAACCTTTCCAAGTGACATTCTTTGCAAAATGGGAGGGTATTTTTTTTTTTATAAATCAGTGGGTGGGGGGAGGGGCGGATGTACATTAATTGAGAAGCTGTTTCATCTGTAGGGACTTTGACAGAAGACACAAATCAGCCTTTGGTGAATAGACCAAGGAGGAAAGAAGATTAGGAGGATGGTATGATCAGTAATTAAAGATTTCAGGACAGGCCTTCCATGTACTGAGTAGAGAACAAGGAAGCTCCTGAAATAACTAATGTAGCCACATTATGAGAGGAAATAGGAGCCAGGGTATTTAACAGAAGGGAGTCCCTTTCTTGCATTTCCGAAAAGGAGATGGGTTTTAAAACATCTGTGGAATGTAGACAAGGATCCTAGTGTGTGGTGTATGCTGCAGACATCGAAATCATCATAGAGCCATATAGAAATGTTGGCAGGTGTGTGGTAAATGAAGTTCAGGTTGGCTAAGTGAGAAGAAGTAGGGCAGATTAGCTGAAATTGTATGGTAAGGAGTCATAGATCCAGAGTCAATGAATATGTGCATTCAAAAATTTTAAAAGTTATGTATAAGTCCAGTGCTGTGTGTGTGTATGTGTGTGTGTGTGTATGTGTGTGTGTGTGCGCATGCGCATGCACACACACACAAACACACACACACACACACACAACATCTCAGGAAGGTAAAGCAACTACTGGAGGCAAGAGGTCATTTATGTGCACTCCAGTAATAATATTTTCTTTGTTAAGCATCTACTATGGCAAGGTTCTATTCCCAACAGTATCTTTTATATTAGGGCAGTGTAATTATGTATAGTGTTTGGGTTCCTTTTGATAAAATTATACCTAGAAGTAATTTTACTTCAATCCCATTCCCTCTCTTTAGTTCCCCTCTCCCCTTTCCCTTTTCTCCCTCCTCTACTCTTCTTCCTTTCACTATTTCATTTGTCTTTGATTGAGACCTTCTACATCACATACAGGTAAAATTCCCTCTAAGTAACTAGATCATCTTATTCATCCCTCCCAGCAGCCTTCTGAGCTAGGCATCATTACCTTTATGAACCCATTCCTAGATGTTTCAGGTTCAACTCAGTGGTCCAGCTTCAACTTTCACCACTATGTTGTAAGTTTGTCCTTGAACTGCAGGTTCCCATTCTCAAGGAGAAATTCCTTCAAGGAATGTTTCTGTATTTTCAGGAAGTTTAGGACACCTGATGTCTTTGGTGCCTGTGAAAACCCATATGGTATTTCCCTCCCAGGTTCACATCTACCCAAATCTCCCATGTTAATGGCTGAATTAGGGTGGAGAAGGTGGTATCATTTGTGTCAAGTATGATAAATCTACTTTAGAAAATCTAGATAAAACATTGAAGAAATGGGAAGGACACTGTGGATCTTCTCGTTTCCCCAAAGCTTAATGTGAAATTCAAGAACAAACAAGTGATTAAAGATTATAGATGAAAATGTGAGCCCGAGAAGAATATCAGCAATGGACTTTGGATACCTTTTCCTTATTTCAGAAGTCCCTGGCCTGGCCTGGAGGCCAGCAGGTCACACCCAAGTAGATCTCCTATAGGAAGAGCTTTGAATTTTTTTTTTTTTTTTTTTGCTTTCCTCGGGCACCTCAGCATCAGAGGCACTTTGACTGTGCAGGGACCCAGCATTGCTCTCCACGTTCTTGCTTTATCTCAAGAACTTTCATAAAAATTCTTAAGTGTGAGTTTTTTTAGGTACCATTTTAATTTAAAATTGGGTAGGCTCTACCTCACCTGCTTCAGATAGACAGGAAAACCACTGCCCCAGGAAACCGTGCTGTCAGAATTCTGATGAGTAGACCCCAGAAGCGGAGACCACTCGTTGAACAACATGAGCCTAAAAGTCCCAGGACACTTAGGTAACCTCCTTCCTGGTTATGCTGGAGCTTCCATGATAAATGTGTTCCCTGAGCTTCAGTAAGTTTTTCCTCACCTCTTCCCATCACCTAATGTGTAGTTCACAGATAAACAAACAAATAAAAATGGACAATGCAATCAATTTGGTTAAGTGATATATTTACTCAAGATTTTTGAAAACTCCTAAAATGATTTGAAGCAGATAAGCATGTGACCTTAAACGACAATAATTCATGCTGGAGTCATCAGAGGGGATAAAGGAAATAGGAGAAAGAAAAAAGAAAAAGCAAGCACGAGAGAAACAAACAAAAAAATCTATAAACAAAAATGAAGGAACCGAAGCACTTTTTTTTTTTTTTTTCAAATGATGTGGTTTCAAAGGCAAGGCCTAGGGATGACTTTATATCATTGACAACCACCTCTATCAGTTTTGGGGTCTTTCTTGATCTAGCTTATTTTCCTCTTACTAATTATTATTATTGGAAAATTTTTATCAGGTCGTCTCTAAATTATACAACATCAACAAAACAACGTGATTTCCTTTAGACAGCCACAAAGACTCACTCCCTTCAGGGCCTCAAAATTACAGTCCATATTTCCTATTTTAAAAACCTTCTTTAAAGTCTTTAAAACAAAGGTTTGCTCTACCACCCCAC